AGACAGACAGACAGACAGACAGACAGACAGACAGACAGACAGACAGACTTCAAACACTGTGAAGATACAACACACTGTGGAACACAGTCAACTGTACCCAGAGGTTCAATTGATTGATTATGTGCCATCAAATTGCTTTTTACTCCTAGCAGCCACACAGATTTTCTCCATGATGATCTGTCCCTCACCTGGTCTTTCAAGCCCCCCAGTGGTGCACTCATCACCACTGTAAATGAGTCTGTCTACTTGCTGTTGGACATCCTCTTTCCTTCCACCTTCCCCAGCATCAGAGCCTTCTCCATGGAGCTGGCTCTTTTCAACATGTGTCCGAAGTAGGACGATTTGAGCCTGGTCCTTTGTGCCTTGAGTGAGACCTCTGGGTTAATTTGTTCAATGACCCATTTGTTTGTTTTCTTGGCCGTCCATGGTATCCCCAGGAGTCTTCTCCAACACCAAAGTCCAAAAGCATCAATACTTTTCCTATCCTGCTTCTTCAAAGTCCAACTTTTGCTTCCATAGAGGGTCACAGGGAATACCCGATTCTGATCTTTGTAGGTATGGACACATCATGGCATCTGAAGATCTTTTCCAAGGCCTTCATAGCTGCTCTACCAAGTGCTAGTCTGCAGTGACTGCTTGTTCCTTTAGTGTTGATGGTTGATCCTAAAAGCCATCCACCACTTTGATATCTTCACTGTCAATTCTAAGGCTGGTTGTTATTACTTTGGTCTTCTTTATATTTAATTTTAGTCCCATTTTTTCCTTGTGCTCTCTGAATTTTAGTACTAGGGCTTGAAGATCCTTTGCATTTTCGGCTATCAAGGTAGTGTCAGCATAGCACAGGTTACTGATGTTTCTTCCTCCAATTTTAAAACCACATTCATCTTCTTTCAGTCCAGCTTCCCTTAATATATATTCAGCATATAGGTTGAATAAATAGGGGGAGTGGATGTAACCTTGTCACACTCCTTTGCCAATCTGGAGCCAGTCGGGTTTGCTATGTTCTGTCCCTACTGTGGCTTCCTGACCTGTACAGAAGTTTCTCATGAGGACAATGAGATGTTCTGGGATTCCTATTTTTCTGAGCATTTTCCTCAGCTTGATGTGATCGACACAATCAAAGGACTTTCTATAATCAATGAAGCACATACTGACTTGTTTTTGGTAATCTTTGGCTTTCTCAATTATCCAGTGTACAATCAGCAATAACGTCTCATGTTCCTCAACCTCTTCTAAAGCCGGCTTGAACATCTGGCATCCCTCTTTCAATGTAGGGCTCTAATCTGCGTTGGATGATCCTAAGCATTATTTGGCAGCCTGTGAAATTAAAGATATTGTATGATAGTTTGCACACTCTGTTGACCCTCCTTTTTTTGGTATCGGAACGTAGATTGACCTCTTCCAATCAGTTGGCCACTGTGTCATTCCCCCCGGGCTGCCTTTGAGCCTCTCTCCAAAACATAGGTAAATTCAGTACAATACAGTAGATAGGACTAGGATAAAAACCGAGCTGCTTTTATTTAATTTAAATCTGATTAAAATTCAGGTAAATCAACTGCATGCATTAACTGCTGGTCCAGCGTAGCTCAATGTTATCTAATCCTCTGAGTAGCAGGAAGTTACAAAGCAAGCAAATAAATAATTAAATGATTGGATTGTTAGGTTCAGTTGGAGATTTATCCCAACTTTGGTCCTCGAGACAATTCCTCCTCAACGTCCAGGTTCACAATCTATTTCTACCACGAAATACGTCAGTGGTGGGTTCTGAAGACTGTTTGGCACTTTCAGGAGCTGCTAAAATGCTGTTTGACGTTGGCCCAAAGGAACAGCCGTTGCCAGTTCTCAGCGATAGCGGCTGCCAGTTTGTTTCTGAGCACAGTTCAAACTCTTGTTTAGTTTTCACCTTGAATGTCTAATACTTGCAACCCAAGTATCGAAAACAGAAGTGGGTCTCCTTTTCAGTCCTGGTTAGTTTTGTACGCTGTGTTGAGGATCCCCGTCAAAAAGCGGGCAGGGTCAGGTCAAGAGGGTAAGGTCAAAGCAAATAAATAAATAAATAAATAAATAAATAAATAAGAAACCCCTCCTTTATTCGGTTCTTTTTGTTGTTGTTGTTGTTCAGTCGTTAAGTCGTGTCCGACTCTTTGTGACCCCATGAACCATATTGCGCCAGGCCTTCCTGTCCTTCACTGCCTCCCTGAGTTTGCTCAGTTTCATGCTCACTCCTTCAAGGATGAGATCTAACCATCTCATCCTCTGCCGTCCTCTTCTCCTTTTGCCTTCAATCTTTCCCAGCATCAGGGTCTTCTCCAAAGATCTCTCTCTTCGCATTCTACTCAATTGTTAATCACGATATGCAATTTGTATTAATAATCATGAATAATCATTTATTAAATGTATAGGTCGCCTGACTCCCAGCGACTCTGGGCAGTTATGGGAATAGGCAAATTATGGACTCAGGCAGTGTTGGAATTCTGAGACTGTGTTTGTGAGTACACTCACAAAATGGTTGCCAAGGGATGTTTGCCTACTTACTGTACTAAAACACATATCACATATACATGGGCATATATATATGAAAAGAAGACTGTCTGGGGGTCTAAAAGATGGTCAAGACCTGCTCTCCGTTGTTCCAAAGTGCAGGAGAAAGAATAACGTATGCACATAAAAAACAGCTTTGACCACACCATTGCACCGCCATCTTTATTTTTTTGACTGTACCCTGAAGACGCTCCTGAGAACTTGGGACCCCGTGTGGCTTATCTGTGAATGAGTACCAAAAAAACAATGGATGTGCACTTAACGGACATAGGGGCCAAGGCAAAAAAGCACGATTCGAATGGGATGTTGCTGCAGTCCCGATGAAAACCATGCCCAAAACTACCTGTTCCCTGTCAGAGTAATTGCAGCTTTGGAGACGGGGCCTAAGTTCCATTGGGGTTGCAGCAGCAGAACTGGCAAGCCCTTCTTCGCCCGCTATGGCCAGCCTCCTATCCTTGCAGCACTCCTTCCCATTTAAAAAATCTTGGGTCTATCCAGCTATTCCTTTCACGGTCTTTGTCTCTGCAGAGGCACCCTCACTCCTGAAACCAAGGGAGTTTCTTGCAGGGGACCTGGCTTTTGGAACAGAGGGGACCTGCAAACAATACGGGAACATTGATCTGATTCTGGGATCAGCAGGCCTGAGAAAGCAGAGCACAATGGCAAGGAACAATATTTATTTATTTGTTTGTTTGTTTGTTTATTTTTCGAATTTGTCACTGCCCATCTCACTGCAGAATGACATGACCTCGGAATAACCTATCAGGGATCCCATGCTGGGAGGGAAGCTGGGTAAAGATGGCAGTGAATAGGGCAACCCTCTTTTCTCCCCCTCCTTCTGACATTTGTCCCCCCTCCCCTTACTCTTTCCCCACATCTTCCTCTCCAACTAATCTCTGCTAGGGAGGGGAGGAATAGATCGCTTTTATCAAAAATCTCAATTTCTTGCTGAATGAGGACTGCTGGAAATTAGACCAAGATCCGTTTTTATAGTTTTCAAAATGCACAGAGAAGGCCTGATGGTCATTTTTTTAAAAAACCTTCTTATAACTCTTCAGTGTTAGACGCAAACATGTCTGAGACCACTAATGAACTGAAGTACATAAAATACTGCACCCTAGCAGTTATGAATTATCATGCTTTGACAGAAGCTTCCACGGACGACCTTTTTATTACACTGTACAAGCATCACAAATAATCCTTTTTAATGAAAAAAAAATCAATATTAACAACTCCAACACCACAATCCAGGTGCAAGGAACAATCACTTGCAGCTTTTCTAGTGACTTAAAGGAAAAACAGTGGCTACGGAAAACCTGGGAAATTAAAGTTATCCAAAGGAATCCTTTATACAGATAAAAAGAAGTCCCATTTTTTTTTCCCAGTGGGGAAAGCAGAGAGTAGGGCTGCAGATTTGCAAAATCTGGGGAGGGAAACAAAATTTGGGTGCTGAGAATTTCTTAGTGAGAAAAGTCTGCATGAACATTTTCAGAAGAATGGATTAGTGGATAGACATTAATAAGAGACACCCTTCACATATTTTGTGAACATTGAAGTACAATGATGATGTTTTAACTGTGCATTCCCAAACCGGAGTCTGGAAAAATACAGCCTTTGGATTTAAATTAAATAAAATGCAAAATGTCGACCGCCGGGCCTTTGCGTCAGGGGGAATATCCAATTGGGGCTGGTGGGCCAGATTCAAAACCTTTTTTGTTGTGCTTGAAAGCGGCATCTGGAAAATGGAGCTCCATTTTTGCTCCGTGAAGAAATCAGTTTGAGTGTCCAGAAAGTGTAGGTTTCTTACTGATGTAAGGCAATTTTGGAAGACTGACTAGAGCAGTGTTTCTCAACCTTGGCAACTTTAAGACGTGTGGACTTCAACTCCCAGAATTCTCCAGCCAACAAGCCTGCGGGAAAATTCAGGGAGGTTAAGTAGGAATGTCGTGAACGTTCCAAGATTGAGTAATACTGTATTAGACAGAA